TTACTTTTTCACAGATAGGAAAAGAAAACTATACATAACAAAGGTTCTCACTAACCTTATCCGCATGGATTTGGAGTGTGAACATGTTTCTATCCTTGGCAAAAAAAAATCAGCGCGTTTGCTCGAGCCGTAATAGAGACATTCACTTTTCTTTTCGATAAAGTGACTTTTGCATCATCCTGTATACTGTCTTTTTTCTACCTGTGTAAAAGCAAAATTTTCTTATTAAGTTCAATAGTGATACTTGACAAAGGTTCTCACTAATCTTGTCCGTATGGATTTAGAGTGTGAACATGTGTCTATTTTTGATAAAAGAATGAGACCGTTTGGTGGAGCCGTAATGAAACTACTCAATTTTTTCTCAGCAACGTGACTTTTGAACCACCCTGTATTATTCATATTTCTAAAAAGTTTTTTTCTCGAGTTAGAGTGTTGGTGTGAGGTGTGGGTGGGTGTGAGTGTGTGGGTGTGAGTGTGGGTGTGGATGTGGGGTGTGGGTGTTCGCCTTCTTTTACTGTCATATCACCCACACCCTACTATTTAAAATTTCAAGAAAACAATTAATCCAAATTAAACATTTTTCTACTTTCGACTCAATTTTGAGCATTTGAAACGTACAGATATATCATATTAAGATATATACCCTATAATCTTCAATGAAAATTAAGACATCTTTCAAAGTGTAAAAGCTTTTCAAGTTCGTTGTATTTGCTCGATGAAACTCGTCTTTCTTTTTTGAACGTTTTGATAAATGACTTCTTTGCTTTGAAAGTAAATAAGAACCATTTTCAAATAGCTCATAATTATTCTTGTTCCTTTTTTATTTTCATCACTTATTACTGTCACTGCTCAATAGAAGATCATATAGAAAAAAACACCATGTATGCCGTTTAACACGAACATGCCATGATATAGAGACTGATGATCGTAAGCCAAAAGAATCATTAACCTCTTTTGTAATGTTGCTATGATCTTCTAGTGTTGGCGTGATTTGACAATATTATTATCATTGAAAGTAATATCATATGTTGAATGTTTTTTTGATTAATACTTATGCAACTATTAACCAAATGAAACAAACAAACTAATGAGAGTTGTTCTACTTGTCTCTGTACTGAAATAATTATATTTATGGACGTGGATGACCAAGGGAATAACCTTGATCATGGGCAATCTCAAATGAGACTTTTTGAAACATTTTTCATGAGAAAAGTTATTACATTTTTTTGACTGTTTTTTCTCTCGTATTTGCCGACATAGATCTGTGTACGTATGTGTACATAGAAAAGAAAAAGAATCATTCGTTCTCTTTTACTAATAGTGATCAGTCGTGTTTATTTTCTCTTCTCTTTTGGTTCAAGGACGAACAAATACACGTCTTTTATTCTTTTTATTTCTATTTTCCTTTAACACATGTATTTTAACCTTGTATAGTTCTTTGTAGTGTTTATTGGCTTGTACTCGATGGTGAGCCTACCATGCAATTAAAGAGTGTTCTCCTGTCTAGCTCTACCATTGTCTTAATGCTCTACAACTTTAAGAACATCGTGTTTAACCATCATTTATTCTTGTTAATTAGAATCATCTAGTGAATAGTAACGAATGTACTCATCGAAAATCGCATGCAATTTAACAATATTCATTCTATCACTATCAAATCAAATTATGGCATAATCGTCTAACCCACTCTCGTCTATCTCCTGAAATGTCATCAAAATTTAACTCGATAATAACACATATTCATTACTCGAATATGATAACATAAATGATTCCACATCTGATATTTAAGTAATTACATATATATACATATAGGTACAGTATGTCGATCGAATAAGAAAATAAAAGAAAGTAATACTAAAAAGTCAATACAAATTCATTATGATGATTCACATACTTTTGTCAACAAGTACATGATTATAGTAATGTATCTATTTCCACCACATGTTTTCTATTTTAAATCCTTCAAAATAATCGATGAAGTTATTATAGATGAGCAGCTGAATAATGAGTGAGTAAATTATTCCATTGATCTTGAATTAGCTGATTTTTGTACTTCATCAACTAGATGTAATGACAAAAAAATGAATAGAACTTGCTACTATTCGTTAAAAATAGTTTACTCGAGTCATCCATTAAAAGAAAAGGAATAAATTTAGATACAAAATTTGTGAGAGTGAAATCTAGTTCATCAAAAACGCGTGATGAAATATTAAAGAATTTTTGCTGCAAGAAACAATTCTTATTTGCTCAAAATGCATGGCTATAGGACACTTCCGTAAACAATGCAAGAAAACCGATGTAACTTGGAAAGTTTTTAATGAATATTATAATGACTTGAACAAACTCTGTGGTCAGATTCAGCTAAATGTATTCATTTCAATGGTAAGCATAACTTTAATGACATGAAATACAAGGTGATTAAAGAGTTCCACACTGATTTAACAAAATACTCTTATCATCTTCTAGTGGCTAATTCAAACAACACATTAACTCTATGTCTAATTTCCTCTATTACGTCATCAGAAAAGAATATAAATAATAAATCTAATATGTTAATGAGTGAAAAATGGAATAATATCAAAGTTAGATCAGATCCTTAACTTAATCAATAATATTGATAATGTTACAGAAGATCTTACCAGATATACTGAACTAATTGAAGGATTGTTTAAGGATAAATGGAAATTCGATGCAAAAATCGAAGATGAAAAAAACAAACCATGATAACTTAGTAATGTACCTCATGAAGATGAATTATTAGAACAAGCACAACACTATTTAAAAAAATGATTCTTTCTGCTCTATATGATATGATCATGCTGTTGCTGGAACTGAACGTTAAAAATACTACAGTTTTAAAAACTGATTTAAAACACACGCAACTCCTGTTTGTTTCTTGTACCCTTCGTCTGAACTATTAAATAGATCTTTTTTCTAATGTATGCAAAAACTATTGCCTCTTCTTTTGATTTTTTATTATTCAAGCATATTTGTATCAGAGTGACCAAATTGTTGTATGAATAGTTTTGGTGTAATCGTCATGCTAATTAGAAAAGATTTCAAAACGAAACAAATAGGATTGTTGATAAATATTATCTGAAAGTAAAACATAGAATTGAAAAGATTTCACATCGTTAATTTCTTCTAAATGTACACTTGTACAGGATGGTTAATGTTGATTCGGATAAAGATACCAAGTCAAAAGAATTACTTTAAGAATGAGCAGGCAACTGATCTTTGTTTCCATGCGTGCCTATGATTATTTCCTGTCTCTGACATCTAATTCATATCGAACTATTGATTATGCCCTTGCAGCTAGTATATCAGTAAGTATTCAAACGTACGAAGATCACACGGCAAGTGATCATAATGCGTATTGAAAGATGTACAGTCTACTGTCCGATCATTAAATATCAAATATCTATATCAAATAAGAATTCGAGCTCCTCTTTCATATTATCATGCACTTTCCTTTCGTACATGCAGAATAGATGATTCTGAATTGAGAAGACTCTGTTAAGTACATGCGAACTAAATGGAAAAAAGAAGCTAAATTTTTTTTCTTAAATCAATTAAGGACAAGTCTTGCGACGCGATACTCACCTTCTCATGCGTCAGTAACTGTTTGGTCAAAAAAAAAGGTTTTTAAAATCATAATAGTGTATCTTTGCATACATTTGTTCGTCCTACTAGTAGAATTATACGAGATAGTTGGAAAAAGATGAATCTTGTAGCTAAGCATTACAAGCAGCTCTATTCAGCATTCATTCTTATGTTGTTGCTCCTCCTATGTGGGAGGACAATGAAGCCGAACCAATTTTTTGGTAACATATGAGGAATCTATCAAAGTAGTAATTATTAAGGAAAAAATGCCTTCATGTAACAGTCATGATCTTTCGACGCTTTTTGTTTTAAATAAACGATTTTGCCATAACTATGATATTAATGAACTTTATCTTTCTGTACGTTAGTTCTCATATGTCATCTTTTCAATTTTCATCATAATGAATGCTCTTATCATCGCAGCTTATTATCATTGTTCAGATAGCAAATGTAACAGAAAAACAAACAATGCGCTGACTTGTCTCTGCATGAATTTATTATTCATCATTAGTGTAAAGACAATCAGTTTCTAGATGATATTGCACAGTTCAAGTTCTCGCTGTATGTATATTTACGGTTGTTATGAATCATTTTTTACAACTTGAAGCATGACATGCGCTACTTCAGACAATAAACGCTAAAGATTGCGAAAAGTAACATGTTGAAGAAGAAAGTGAAAATACACGTTTTATGTATGTTTTGATATTTATTCAACTAAAAGAGACTGAAAATTTTGCCTTTCTTTTCTTCCTTTCATGTGATTTTGTCAACACTACAAAAAAGTATAATTTTCATCATCCACAGAACAAGCAGTTAAAGCGATTAAAAATGAAAAATAATATTATGTTATGCATGTGTTTAAATGTATATCAAATGAATATTGAACTTATATTTATGATTTATCGTTAAGATTTTCAATCACTTGCCGGTTTCATTCAACGTTGTCAAAGGTTTTATCAATAAAGTAGATGTCTATTTATAGCTTATATTACTCGACTTGTATTTCAGCGACTCAATCGTTTAGCAGTCTTATTTTCATTTTGTTAAAAAAACAAATGTTGTCGATGTGGATGAGTTCGGGTAAAGAGAATACTCACAGTCCGTTCTTATGTTTTCGTTGCAACAATTTAAAAATAATATACAATAGATTATTAAAAGAGACGAAGAGTGGTAAAATCACTAAAAATAGAACAAAGTCTATTCATGTTTTCATAATTCTCAAAAGAATAAGAAAAAACAAGATTTTAGCGTTGTTCATGTTTTTCCTCTAAGAAGTGGGTGTATAATAAATGTCGCTAGTGAGCTATAGTTGCAATGTGTTGAAGAAAGAATTTCTTTTTGACTTACTATTGGTTTAAAATAAATATTTTAGATATTATTGAATTTGCACTAAAAATATGGCTATAGACTTGAACAATCTCAATCTTCGTCGTTGTCGATTATGTTTATGGAATAATTATGCTGGACTTGGTTTTATTCTCGAACCTGCACCACTACCACCACATATTGTGCAACTTGTTGAATCGAATAGTCCAGCAGCTGCTGCTGGTCTCAGAATACGTGATGTCATTCTGGCTGTTAATCATAAAAATATGTGTGAATCTAGTTATGATGACCTAAAATATACTATTAAAAAAGCACGAGGTCATGATGGTCATATTGAATTACTTGTTATCGACCAAGACATCTATGAATTATTCAAAGAAAAAAACCAATCGATCGATCCTAGACTAGCGAAAACTATTGAAACACCATCGACAATGCCAATAGATTATCAAAACTTTCCAAAACATCAACCACGCACTTGTGAAATACATTTAAATAGGCACGATACATCATTTGGTTTTCAAACTGTTAATCCTCTAACAGATGTTGGTATATTAATTCAAGAAGTATATCCGAATTCGCCTGCTGCTAAAACATCATTACGTAAATGTGATCGAATTATTGAAATTGATGATGAATTTATTGATGAGATTCCAAGTAGAACTATCTTAGAAAAATTACGTACAGCAAAAGAAAAAAGATATGTGAAATTATATGTTGTTGATACGGCGACTTATGATTTTTTCCAATTAAATAACATACCATTATCATCAAAGGAATATCGACAAAGTACATTTGCAAGAAGATGCTCAACAGACTCACGTATCGGAGAAGATAAGAGTACGTATCAGTATTTTAATTACAGACAAGTAAAACAAAAAAATAATTTCTTTTATTAAAGTAGTCAAATCTTTCATCAGATTTACAATGGTAAAAATATATTTGAATATTTTGTGACGTACAAGACACTTTTGATATATGATTAAAGAGTGTATATCAATAAAACCGCGTTATTCTTAAGTTGACAAATATAGGAAAAAATCTTTAATTGAAAAATGAAATTTCTCACAAAATTAATGATGATCAATTCAGATGATTTAAAGAATTAGATATATGTGTATTCTGTATGTACTGTGGAAAGGTTTTCTCAATTTCTTCATAGCTCAATAGATTTTCAAAGCAAAACTATGGTATCCACGTCAAGATTCACGATGTGGTAAGGATAAATAAATGTATGAATGAAGAGAGAATGTACTTCTCAGGTTTTTTCTTGATGTAGAATTGAGAAAATACTGAAATCATTTTTGTATCGCTCAGAACTTATTACAGCTTCTATCACAGCTGCCAAAATGACTAAAAATTCAGATTTCTCAATTCCTCAAAATCCTAGCTTCAACATCAAATAAGTTAGCTGTAATAAAAACCTATTTCTGACTCTCTTACGACATGAACGTGTTCATTATTTGATATTCCTAACTGACACATATTTTATGATTCTCTTCATTTAGTAGCATCACCATTATCATCTTATAAATTCGGAACAATGAGTGCATCATTTAAAAGAGGACTAATCGAAGTTGAAATAGGTGATATAACAAGACAAAATGTATTTAAAAAAAAACATTAATATTTTTGTCAGACTTCATTCCTTTGATGTTTGTCTTTGATAGGTGGACGTTATTATTGTTAGCTCATCATCAAGAATCTTAAGAACAGCAATAATAAAGGCAGCTGGTAATGAAACTCAAGCAGCATATGATCTCGAATCAAAAAACCATCCCAATTTTGTATTAATCGCAACACCATCAGGAGCTCTACCCTGTAAACAAATATTCTTTGTTAAATGGAAACCTGACGATAATGAAGAGATACTTCAACAGTCCCTTGTTGATCTCATACATATTGTTGTACAAAATGTTAAATCATATCAGTTTACGTCGATTGCATTTCCAGCCATTGGATGTGGAAAGCATGAATGTTCAATAGATATTGTAGTTAAAACAATGGTTCTAGAAATTAAGAAAAATCTTATTAAGAGAAATTTACCATGGACAGTAAAATTTGTGGTAGAACCCGACAAAGAAAATATTTATAATGAATTTTGTAAACAAATACTAACAACACAGGATGGTAAAACAAAATTTTTCTCTGTTTTAATGAAATTGAATTGTGTGATATATAGAGCATATTACGAGATTTTCGACCAAAAAGAATTTGAATATGAATATCATATTTATAGTAGACTAACTAGCAAGTGATCAGTGAGTTTCTTTAGTTCCAATTGGCTTCTGGATTTAGAGAATATGAACATGAGCTATAGACGGACTATTTTATAATAATAATCGTCATTTATATTGTAAATTGTGATCAAATTGTTTTTGTTACAACATAAAATTTAATGAGAAAACACACATGTAACTTTGTCAATAATTATTTGCCCGAAATATGATATGTCAGTATAGTTTTATGATGTCGAATTTTTTAATTATCACAAAATGGTATTCGTTAAGAATTATAAAGTTCTACGAAGGTTTTTATTTCGCAGCTATTCGGAAAACGTAGTTTCAATCATCGATGAACATTGCTCTTTTTTTCACTACTATAACATTCGTAAAATATTTTATGAGCTCTTCATTTCCATTAAAAAAAAGCCAATAATTTCAAATTCAACTAATAGAAGAAAACCAATTCCCACCTCTAGCTTAAGCGCTCACAGATTGAAACCTCAACTAGAATTGGCATTACTCAGTTCATCTTCGTTTTCTGTACTATAAGACATTGCTCAAGTTGTTTTTCTTGTTGTGTCTACTGATAAAATATGTTACAATTAATATTTTCGGATTTTATCAATATTTTTTTCTTTGACATAACAAACAGATGAATCGAAGGGACAGCATATCGTGATTCAGATTTGTTTTCTAGTAAATGGAGAGCATATCTGTGAGGCACGTGAAAGAAATAATAGTAGCTGCCTCTTAGTTAAGCCATGTACATGAAGGAAAGAAGAATGCTGTCTTCATACGAGGTAAGACCTAAATTTGCTGCTATTGAATAAAGCACTCGTTGGGTTTCCGCTTTTGCATGACAAAAGTAATAAAATATTAACGAAACAGTTAGTTATATATGAATCAAAGTGAAAAAATAACATTTCAACATAAATATGCAACATATAGAAATGTTTTTGTAAATGAATTTGCATAGGTCTACATGAACCAAAGATTTATCAACTACCATCAACATGGGAGAAATCAAAAGAACAGAAAATTCGCTTTAGATTATCCACCAGGACTAATGAGTACGCATCTCTTGCTTCGAATTTTGATCAAGCAATGAAAGAAAACTATACACAAATAATCAAAATTGAACGAATTCAAAATGAACGATGGTATATGCAATATTTAGCACATAAAGAGGATTTTGAAAAACGTCTAAACATGGATACTGAAACAAGTTTATATCACGGTTGTTCTGAACAAGCTGCTCATTCAATTAGCGAAGACTGTTTTAATAGAAGTTTTGCTGGAGCCCATGGTAATTTTGTTCTTTAGTAAATTTTTAAACCGTTAGTATCTTTTTATGTGTAGGAACTATTTATGGTGTTGGTGTTTATTTTTCATCGAAAGCAAGTTATAGTCATATGTATACTAGACCAAACATAAATGGAGAACGATGTATGTTTATAGCACGAGTTCTAATAGGAAAAACTACCAAAGGGAATAGTTCGATGAAAACTCGACCACTTGGATTTGATTCAACTACTGATGGAAACCATATATTCGTTATATATCATGATGCTCAAGCATATGCTGAATATTTGATTACATACAAATGAAATCGATCGAGTAGTTTATCGAATCTTACAGACATATTTATTACCTAGACCAGAAAATATTGTAAAATAAGTAATTTATTCAAGTATATTCGTTATAAATAAAAGCAAGTCTTTGTTACGATTTCCTTTTTTTTTACGAAGGTAAAAGTGTGTGGGTGTGAGGTAAGCGGAGATTCGAACTTACACTCACACCTACCTCGCATTTGATGAACTATGTTTTTCGTGTCTATTTTTTTAAATAAATCATTGAAACACTTGCATAATGCTACAAATTGTATTGGTTTTACTCAGGTATAAATTAAGTCTGTTATGTTATATTAATAATTAGCAACAACAAAATGAGTTGTAGTCCTATATCTAAAATGTGCACTTGCATTTACGTTGAGAAATTTCGCAATATCTTAAAGTACTTTCAACTGATCTGAAATAGATTCAAACAGGTAAATTATGTGTGAATTAGCTGAAATTCATTCGCAGTACTTTAAAGTAACGCAAAATAACTTCAAGTGTAAAAGTATGTCGTTTTCTCCTAACAAAAATGCTATACAATAATAGGGCATGTGCAGAACAAAAAGCAACAAACAAAAAAAGAACTATATCAATAAAAAACAGAAAGAAAGAAAAATGAAGTTAATAATAGAGATAAAGTATATTTATTCGTTTTCATTTTCTTCAACGTGTAACACGTGCAGAACTTCATTCGATACTAGTCAAGTTGAAGGTAAAAAACAGATCCGTAGCGCAAATATTGTGAATATCACTACTTAATGAATTACCCATTTAGCTAATGTAACGATGACAAAGCTTCGCAAAAAATCGATACAATCCTACTCGCATTCTCTGAATACTGGCGAACATTCTGATTAGTGTTCAGTTACATCCTTATGAGATAATGTTACAAGTAATAGTATACTGCTACCCTGTTAGACACAATAACCATAATAATTTACAGTATTTTTCATAAAACTTGACCAATGAGAAATCATAACAAAGGAATTTGATCGATAATTAAAGAAATTAAATTTCTCCTTATAAAAAGGATACTATAATCGAATTCCAGGTCGTTCTTACTCAGCTGCAACTAATTTTCATATATATCTCATACTGGTCTACATCACTAGCGTGTGCTTCACATTTGTTTTTCTTCGAACACTGAAATTTTCTTAAGTTAAACATTTCAAAGACTATATATTACCGCGGTTTTTACTTAACTTTGTCATAATCAAGCGACAAAAGTGACAGGATTTTCATAGTTATCTCTCCAAGTACAGATATAATGAGCAACTATGCAAACTTTTCTCTCTCTGTCATTTTTGTAGACACTAGCACATTTTCTCATTGCTTCTGTTTTATTTTGTATGAGTGAGAAAGCAGTTAGAATTTCTCTCCAACTCTAATGATACTTGTAAGTTCAGTGTTTATATTCGAGAGATACGTCTTTAAATTAGGACAAAAATACAATGATTACTGATCAGCAGCTGATATGATATCTGATTTCTTGAAGCTGAAAATGCACGTCGAATGAAGAATATATTTAAGAAAATATTTGAACGAACAAACTGTGTCAACGATAGCGACTGTGGATAGAATGATTGCAAAATCAATGAATCTAGAGACAGTAGGGTGTGGGTGGATGTGTTAGCGTGCGTTCTTTTGTTCAACACCCACACCCACACCCAATGTGCAAGAAAATTTCTGCAGTTGCAATTGCAGGGCAGGTTACATGTTGCGAATATTCGATTATGAGTAAGGTCCGTTATCAAGGTATGTACTGCAAAACAACTTTGCCAGTATTTAGTTCTTTCTAAGATTTCCTAAGAGTTGCCTAAACAATAAAATCATATTTCGGAAAACTTAGTAAGACATGAATTATGTAACTACCAATGCTTATTATACAAGTGTTAGAAAAATCAAAGTCTAAAATCAGATTCAGATTCTCGTTCTATGAGTCCTCTTTGGTCAAACTTGAAGAAAAATGTGATAAATTCTTATGCCCATTTTGTATAACAGTTTGACAGTTCAGTATTGGAAGCCAATGAAGTCATTTGAAGTGTTGATTTTTCAACTGAATCAACTTTTCGAGTTGTACACTACTAATTGCTGTTAGTTTTTTAGATTTGGAGCACAATGCCAGACACCATTCTTGTAACCGGTGCTAATTCCTTCATTGGCGGTTGGATTATCAAATATCTTCTCGACAAAGGTTACAATGTTCGTGGAACAGTTCGATCACAAGCCAAAGAAGCACGAGTTCTTGATGGAATTCCGAAAGATCAGCAATGTCAAATTTCATTCGTACATATTAATGATGTTACGACTGATTCGTTTGACGAAGCTGTTCAAGATGTTGATGGGATCATTCATGTTGCTTCACCAGTTCATTTGACAGTTACAGATCCCGAAAAAGAGTTTCTCTTGCCAGCCATAAATGGAACTATGGGAGTTCTACAAGCTGCTCATAAATACAATCAAAATCATCCTACCAAAATCAAAAGAATCGTGATTACATCGTCGTTTGCTGCAGTTTTTGATCCAAGCAAAGGAATTCAATCTGATTATACTTACACCGAAAAGGATTGGTGTTCATTGACTTATACAGATGGAGTGGCTGCAAAAAATGATCGTGTCACTGCTTATCGAGTGTCGAAAACTTGTGCCGAACACGCTGCATGGGAGTTTCTTGATAAAGAAAAGCCTTCTTTTACTATTGCAACTATTTGTGAGCCGATGGTGTTTGGTCCACGTATCAATGGTTTCAACTCATTAGATGACATAAATAGTTCGAATTCGCTCATCTGGTCACTGATTACCAGTGATAAGCATGCTCCAATGCCAGAAAAAAAACTGCCCTTTCAAGTTGACGTGAGAGATGTGGCTTACGCACATGTGGCAGCTTTAGAACGGTTCACTAACACAAGCCAACGATATCTAATAGCAGGAGAAACGTGGAGTTATCAAAAAATAGCGGATTTCATTCACGAAAGCTTGCTCATTCCAGAAAGTGTTAAGGATACAACACCGATTGGTACAAAAGGCCAACAACTGCCGCATTATTGCACTATCGATAGTTCCAAAGCGCAAAAAGATTTGGGCGTTACATTTATTCCGTTGAATAAGACTATCGAAGATTTAATTCTACAATTTGCCAAACTGAAGGAAAAACTTGGACAAAAATGATTGATAAGCATAGAGTAGCATCTATTTCGTTACTATTCTAATCTGATTTTCCTAATATAACACTTGTAATTGATAAAAAGATGAAATAAAATAAAAATCACATGTTTTAAATGATCACTCAAAGTAAGAAACACTTTTAACAGTAAATATGAAATCAGGATATGGATATGTAGTTGTGAGGGTGTGAGGTGTGGCAGTTGGAGTGGTTTGGGGGGGTTGGTGTAGGGTATGGGTGAATGCAGGTCCAGTTCATCTGCTCATATACCTATATCCAAACCAACACCCACACCCCACTCCAAAACTTTGCTGCCTTTTCTTATCATAAATTTAATGTTCTTCGTTATTGCAAAGACAATCATGTTCGAGATAATATCACACAGTTCTAGTCCTCATTACAAGCATAGTCATGACTATTATCATCAAGGGGGAAACGGCAGACTCCATGACTCCACTCTTGTATGGAGTCCTTAGTATTATAAAAACATGATGCTTTTTAGTTCCTCAATGGGCTATTAGAAACAGAAAAAATATGATGCCAGTAAAAAAATCCACGAGTTTCGCAGATGCTACACGAATAATTTAAAAAATGTTTGCTGAAAAACACTTGTTTTGATTAATATCAACGTCTGGTGTTTTTGCTTAAAAATCAATTGTTAAATATAAAAAGAACCAAAGACAAATGGATATAGAAATATAATATCCCTCCATTACTTAATAGATTAGATTCACCATGCAAGAAAACAGTAAGTGAATTACTACGGTAAAAACATCAATTTGATATATAACCTAACTACCGTATATAAGAGAACATCTAAGAAGTAATTGGAGAAGTAAAAGCAAGACGGTGTTCCACGTCTAAATCTTATCTTCTTCTCGTTCTTTTTTTGCTAAATCTCTTGAGCTATAAGAAAACTCCATTGTTTGATCTTTTCTTTTCATTTGTCTCTTAGTTTCTAATCATGATACAAAATGTATATGTCGTGTAGAAGGTGCACTACTTGCCGAAGTTACAACTTCGATAGAAAGTTTTGTCGAAGGTATTCTGAAACAGCTAATTAAATATCTTTTATCAAGAGGCGAGCATCATCGTGTTGAATCGCACATTGAAACTCTTCTTTTCAGCTAAACAATATCGATAACAATAGTTATATATATACAACAATTCTATAACGAAATCATTTTGTCTATTTTGTCGTGCTACTGCTTGTTGTTGGAGTTAGTATTGCTGTAGAACATGTAGTTTCACATAAGTTGTTTGTTGTCGTTGATGAAACCACTGCGGGTCTCGCATTGCTAAGTTTTTGTCTTTGTAGAACTACAGGTGATTGTATGTGTGTGGCATTCATATTACAAATTTATACTTGTGAGGATGTGTGGGTGTGTGGCTAGATGTGTGGCTGGGTGTGGGTCTGCTTAGACTGTTTAACACCCACACCCACCACCCACCCACACCCTAATCAACATCGATTCCGTCGTTTTATTTTTCATTTTTTTTCTTAATACTAATCTAACAGGAAATTGACTTTCTTTTAAGTTATATCGAGTAAAAAACTAAGCTAAACATTTCAAGTTCTGTCATTCACAAAAGGCTTCAGGTTCTATACTATATTTCAATGCTTTCATAAGCATTTGAAAAAATAACTTTTAACTTTACAAACGATTCATTGGGATAACAACTTTGAAGCATATATGTGAGTTCCACATTTCAGCTGCAATAACAAGCTTTTCTTATTTATTAAAAATAAATAAACATATATCTTTAACAGCACCAGTCAACTGATGAAATTATATGTTGTGCAAATCGACGTTCATCTCGTCAATTCTATTAAAATAAAAATATCTTTTTTTGTGTACCAGTGTAAGAATCAACAGTTGACATTAAATGTTTAATAATACCAAATTTTTCATGAAAAGCTTTAGCAAGTGATGCTAAAAAATTTGTTGTACATGACGGAATTGAAAGAACTTTTCCTGTATATTTGTCTCCATTAGCACCCATAGCATTTAGCATTAGTCTGTAAATGTAATTGACATTTATCAATTTTTGTAAATACATCAGTTAATTCAACACTTTAAGAAAAGCAAACATATCAACCAATTATTGATTTGTCAACGCTAACGGACAAAACATACCGAGGAATTTTTCATGATTCTTTTCTAAAAATAAAATACAGTTAGACATTAAAATTTATTAATTTAAAATATTAATCTTTTGTCCATAAACAATAATTTTTCCATCTTTATGCCAAATTTCACCTTTGAAACGTTCATATGTTAAATCATATCCAAAATAACTAATGAAAATCATTTACAATTATTCGAAATTACTTAGCTAAATTAAAATTATAAAGGGTGGGTGTGGGTGGGAGCGTGGGTGCGTTCTTGGTGTTCTCTGCAATCACACTCCACGCCCATGCCCACACCCACACACCCACACCCATGAATCATGAAAGATTTAGTAAACGTTTGAAAAACTTTCAGATTTGCCATGACTTCTTGATGAACGACTATTTTTCTATTCTGAGGGTGATTTGACTTATATATAGGCAAATTTTCAGATTGAACATTAGGCTTCCTTATTTTTAGTTTTCCAATAAACATCTAAAGACTGATTGAAAATTCCATAAAACGAACCATGAACACAAACTCGTTGAGATTTTTGCTATTTGCATGAAGAGATCTTTAAATGCGCAATGTGTCCTTCAATAATAGATATCAGTTCACATATTTTCTCTCCTAGAACTTGTTGAATTCTTTATATCTGCCTTATTGAATGTACTCTCAGATATATATGAAAACCTTCTTCTATTTTCGATTATCTTTCAGTCGATGATGAAGAATATTCATGTTTAGAATTTTTT